TTCAGCTCTTTGGGCTGATGCAATGTGGTGCCCTACAAATGCTTTGGATAACAGCTCTCAGGATCTCTGGCCATGTGTGTCTCCCTTGTAGCTTCCCCTGCTCCCCTGCTGGCCAGGAGTATGTGATTTCAGGATCAGCCAATGGGCTGTTGGGATTACAAATGTCTCTTCCAGGAGGGCAGAGATGCTTGAGGAAAAAGATTTGCCAGCCTTCATAAGCATTTGGGGAACACAGCCTTTGCTGAGACAGCATCTGCCATAGTAAAGAACAGTAGCTGGGAGCTGTCCAGGGTGCTGAATTGCCTTGCCATAGTTGCCTTTCCTTGTCATTATGAATTCTCCTGTGGATCCCAGAGGAGACCCTGGAGCAACAGAGAAGTCTGCTCAATCTTCAGCATAGCAAATAAGTTAGCACTTCCCCTCAACTTTCCCTTTTCCAGGTTAAAGGTACCCAGCTTTCAACTCTCTCTCATAGAACTTGGTTTCACACACATCCTTTCTTCTAAATGTGACTGTGTACCAGGGAGAACTACTCCAAAAATAATGTTTTGGAGCTGCTGAAGTTTCCAGCTTCACTGGCATCTCCAGCTATGGGACATCACAGTAGCCCAGTCTGCGTGTTTTAAGGCATGAAATGGGTCAAGAACTTTCCCTTGAATTCCAGAGTGCAGGTCCTGTTGATTCAGCTGGTATCTAATGACCAGGGTATACCACCAACCCTGCTTATTAGTACGCTGCCACAACTCCTTACAGCCAAATAACCTGAGCCAGGAGACTCCAAGACTTTGGGCACAACAATGAGATTCAAAAGGAGCAGGAGCTAAAACCCAGACTCTCTGCTTCCTGAGAATCAGGTTATCCGCCATCTCTCCCCAGAGCTTTAAGCTTATCAGATATTAAACATTTAAGGAAGAATTTAAAAAACGAGTGATGTGACAATCAGTGCTCTCCCCCCTTTATTAAATACATTGAATGAGAACATCAAAGCTACTTAAAGCTTTCCCCATTGTTGTGGCGATTCATCAGTCATTTAATCATTGATTATCTGATCGTGAAACAGAAATTTTTAAAAATACCATTTTGTTATTTGCATTGCACCTGAGCTATATGCAATAATATTAAAGATAGATTTCTCCCTCATAGGATTCTACATAAATGAGCAGGTACATAGGTGAACATTAAACAGGTCCCGCTGAGGCCCTCATTCTACCACTACTGTGAGATCTGGCTGCAGCTTGTGCAGCTCTGCCCATGCCCATCCATTTTCAAAGCAGGTGCAAAAGCCATTCCTGGAAGAGCCAATTGATAAAAGCAAGGGCTGGGGCAGGTTGCTTCGTGTGTGTGTGTGTTTGTGTGTGTGAAGGAAAAAACTTATATCCACACCCCCCCTCCCTAAAAATTAGAGTTTATGTACTCAATAAGAATGGAGAGCCTCAGATGCATGGGTGATGTATGAAATGGTGAGGATCCAGTGGGAGGAGAGAGGTTGGAACTGTATGGGATTCTGTAATCCTTCTTGAGGTGCCAAGGAGAAACATCTGCACTGAGGGTTACCCTAGTCATCATCATCATCATCAATATCAATATCATCGTTGTCATCGTCGCCATCTATGTTGTTGTTGTTCTTGTTGTTCTTGTTCTTGTTGTAATTGTTCTTGTTGTTCCTCTTGTGGTCATTGTGGTCATCGTAGTCATCGTCGTCATTGTGGTCATCGTCGTCATCGTCATCATCTGGTTTACTAGAACCTTTCTACTTTTCCTGGAAAAAAGAAAGAAGAGAGGTTAATGCCTAACTTCTGCTGGCCTTTTGGACCCTTCCTACATTGACTTCCCATCCTCTGAAGCCCTTTAGGAATTGCATCGGGAAAGTCAGTCAAGAAGACCATGAAAAGTGTCTTAAGTATTTTTGCAGAGGGTGGGGGTAGATCTGATGCAAATAGGCGGAAGGAGGCACTGCCCCAACAACCTCAATCTGCCCTCAGTCACCCCCCACCGACTGGCTTCTTATAACCATCCCAAGGGATGGTTGTACTGGATCCAACCTTGGTATACCCATAGAGGCAGATCTCCTACTTAGGTATAACTGTATAATAACCACAACAGGTTATCTCGTGGATTTTATGTGGAAGGGAAAACTTAGTGATTTGGAGACTTGGGCAGAAGTTGAACAAATATGAATTATTTTTTTTATAGAACAAAGTTTTTAAACAAAGGATATGTCAGGAGATAATGTTCTTTCAAGAAACAGTTATTTAATATTTGTACTAAATCTAACAGAATTTGCAGGCGCCTAATAAGGTAGTTGGGACGCGGGTGGCGCTGTGGGCAAAAGCCTCAGTGCCTAGGGCTTGCCGATCGAAAGGTCGGCGGTTCGAATCCCCGCGGCGGGGTGCGCTCCCGTTGCTCGCTCCCAGCGCCTGTCAACCTAGCAGTTCGAAAGCACCCCCGGGTGCAAGTAGATAAATAGGGACCATTTACTGGCGGGAAGGTAAACGGCGTTTCCGTGTGCTGCGCTGTCTCGCCAGATGCAGCTTTGTCACGCTGGCCACGTGACCTGGAAGTGTCTCCGGACAGCGCTGGCCCCCGGCCTCTTAAGTGAGATGGGCGCACAACCCTAGAGTCTGTCAAGACTGGCCCGTACGGGCAGGGGTACCTTTACCTTTACCTTTACCTAATAAGATAGTAAACCCACAGCTTATATTCAGGCCTATACTGAGTTCTTGTAACATCAGGTAGATATTACAGGTGAGTATACTAGATGGCAAATCCTTATTTCCAGGTACTTTAGTTCCTCAACTTGTTTGCATAGGTGTTACAGCAGAATACTTTGGTTCTTAAACAAGGTGGTACTTTCTATCCGTCACCCAGCCTTTTAACAATCACACTCTTGATGTGCTCCTAGCAGTATAACAGACCCAGAGGATCAGCACACTTCTCTTAACTGGATTAGGATTCTTCTCTATCTAGAAGATCACTCCCCTCCTGACTGGAATGAGACCCAAGGAACTGTATCCTTACAGCTCCTACTTCTCTTTGTTGAAACTCAACCCTTCAGTTAGCTCCTGTCTGAATACTATCATACTGTCCTTCACACTAAGCTCAGAGAACCCTTGCGTGGCGAGTTCCCACCTCCCCCCTCAGAAATAAAGACAAGAGACACAAGAACTTGAGTTAATTCATACTGTCCTTCACACTAAGTTCAGAGAACCCTTTCTCTAAATTTATTTTCCTCAGAGTGGAAGTTTCTGTTGTTGTTTAGTCGTGTCCGGCTCTTTGTGACCCCATGGACCAGAGCATGCCAGGTACGCCTGTCTTCCACTGCCTCTTGCAGTTTGGTCAGACTCATGTTGGTAGCTTCGAGAACCCTGTCCAACCATCTCGTCCTCTGTCGTCCCCTTCTCCTTGTGCTCTCAATCTTTCCCAACATCAGGGTCTTTTCCAGGGAGTCTTCTCATGAAGTGGCCAAAGTATTGGAGCCTGAGCTTCAGGATCTGTCCTTCCAGTGAGCACTCAGGGCTGATTTCCTTAAGAATGGATAGGTTTGATCTTCTTCTGGGAAGTTTCTTCTGGGAAGTTTCTACCCAGAACCAACTCTCTCTCCCTATCCTAAACCCTTTCTCCCATCTCAAATCAAGCCCTATCTGAAGACCATCTCACAAACTGCTCTTTTTTCCTCTCCTTCCACCAATGCTGCTCCACCACCAAACACTCTGGGGGTGTCTTGGTAGTCAATCAGGGACAGGTTCTGCCTTTTCTACCCTTTTCGGTAGGTCTTGCCCCAATGAACGGGTTGCAAGGACTGAAGAACCACGCCTTTCCACCACTCTCCCAGGCTCCTCCCCAGATCTCTTCCCCACCAGGCTAAGGCTCCAACATCTTGGTCTCATGGCTCCTTCCTCTTCATTACTCTAATGTTCTAGGAGACCAGAGAGGAGGAGACCTGGTCACAGCAGGAAGGGGAGATTCCCTGACAGGGAGGTATAAGAGGGTGGAGCAAAAACTGACAAGGCAAAGAAGGCTCAGGTTGCTTGGGAACGACCCAGGAGAGGAGGAGACTTAGCAAGCCATGAGAAGGCAGGGACCTTCAGTTGTCACGAGTGCCTCATTAGAGCAAGACCTACTGGGAAGAGTTGTTGTGCTCACTATGCCTGGGCTATTTTCTTTTCTTTGAAGAAAGAGTTGACTTCACTGACACTTTGTGAGTTATTGCTGACTGGCTCCCAGATCCTGCCTTGACAGTATATATAGTTTCCCTCAGAGTAGAATAATAATAATAATAATAATAATAATAGGAATTAAAGGTAAAGGTAAAGGTACCCCTGACCATCAGGTCCAGTCGTGACCGACTCTGGGGTTGCACGCTCATCTCGCTCAAGAGGCCGGGAGCCGGCGCTTGTCCGCAGACAGCTTCCGGGTCATGTGGCCAGCATGACTAAGCTGCTTCTGGCGAACCAGCGCAGTGCATGGAAACGCTGTTTACCTTCCCGCCGGAGCGATACCTATTTATCTACTTGCACTTTGACATGCTTTCAAACTGCTAGGTTGGCAGGAGCATGGACCAAGCAACAGGAGCTCACCCCATTGCGGGATTCGAACCACCAACCTTCTGATAGGCAAGTCCTAGGCTCTGTGGTTTACTTCCCCTAAATAAGTAATGTCCATTCATTTCAAGGGGTCAAAGTATGGCTAAGTTTGGACACAACCCCCAATCCTTTTTGCCACTCACAATCTTCTCTGTTTAGCTCCAGGGCTGAATATGTTGTAGGGCTACAGAGAGCCAGTACCCCCCCCCCCCCAAACACACTCATACACACACACACACACAAACACACACACTGCATTTTGTGTTATTCTACTCACAGATGTCATAATTTTCTTCAATGGCTCATCCCCTTCCACCTCTGTGATAATCTTTTCTTCCCTCATAGTCATTGACTGAAGCTTCTCCAATCCAATATTTATCCCCAATTTTCCAGCTATGCTCAAGAGTGGACTTAACCATGAACGCTCATCGGCTGGGTGAGGACTGCAGTGCCTGCTCCCTTCCAGGGCCTTTTCCAACTGGCCCAGGGGGCGTGGCCCAGGCCCTTTCTCCCAGCTATAAAGGGACTCCTGCTGCGGTGAGGCCTTGGACCATCGGCTGGGTGAGGACTGCAGGGCCTGCTCCCTTCCAAGGCCTTTCCAACTGGCCCAGGGGGCGTGGCCCAGGCCCTTACTTGGAACAAACTTTTGGGGAAGTGTGGGAAGTTGTTCTGCCATTGCTTCCCGGTTCCAAGTGGTTAATGTGTTTAAAATGTCCTCAAGCAGTCGGTGGCATTTTAATTTTTTATTCCCCCCCCCTTTTTTTGCTTTGTTGGGGCTGGGTGGGTGTGATGGATATTTGGTTGGGGATTAATTTTAGTATAATTGTTCTGTTTTTGTATTTTGGTGTTTTAATGGTTCTGTATAGATTGTGTTTTGTTTTTAAGGGGCGGGATCAGGGCTGCCTGGGAGTGGCTCCCCAGCCAACACGATGGCTGGGACAAGTTCCACAGGGGGGGAAGCACTGGGACATCCGATCCCGGTGATCATGGGCAGGAGGAGGAGTTACGCTAAGACCAGACCATGTCATTACCGAGGAGGCAGCTTTAGTCGTTGTTTGAAGACTATCCCTGCCTCTGGGTCTGGCCTTGACCGGATGGATACTGGAATCAACAGGGAAACCCACATGACCTGAAGGTGGTCCCACCTCCCTGCAGAGGGGAAGGGTCGCGGAGAAGTCCAGTTGCACCAGGAAGTGATCTGACCATGGCACTTCTTTTGTTTCACTTTTACTTAGTGTCAGATCACTAGAGGTGGGACCAATTCGGACGGTCCGCCCCCGCCACTTAATGGATCCAAATGGTTTCCAGAGAGTGGAGGGGATGCTTTATCCCATGTTGATGGCCTTTCAGCTGATTCCCTGGTGGCCTGCTGGAATGCGGAGTTAACCAGGGCTATCAACTGTCTGGCTCTGAAGCACCCTCTCCGATTGCATGGAGCCTGGACAGCCCCGTGGTTTTCTTCGGAGCTGAGGGCAATGAAACAATCGCTGAGACGGCTAGAGCATCGGTGGCAGAAAACTCATTCCGAATCTGACCGGACACAGGTTAGAGCTCAACGTCGAGCCTACCAAGTGGCGATAGCAACAGCGAAGAAGACTTTCTTCACCGCCTCTATTGCATCTGCAGAAAATAGTAGCAGGAGACTCTTTCAGGTGGTCCGCAATTTAACGGAACCACCTTTACCACCGGGGCCTTGTAAAGACCCCAAGATCTCCTGCAACAATTTTGCAAAGTTTTTTGCAGATAAAATCACTCATATTCGGAAGGAGCTAGACACCACCGTGGGAGCAGGGCTGGGGCGGGAGAGTGCTAGAGCCCTGTCTGGTCAAGTTGCATGGAATCAGTTTCAATCCGTTACCTCCGAGGGTGTGGACAGGCTGCTTGGACGCGTGAAACCAACCACCTGTCTCCTTGATCCTTGCCCATCCTGGCTAATAAAAGCAAGCCGGGAAGGGCTGAGCGATGGGCTCTGCGGGGTGGTGAATGCTTCCCTCTGTGAGGGAACATTCCGAGATCCGCTGAAAGAGGCGGTCATTAAACCGCTTCTTAAAAAAACATCTTTAGACCCAGCCAGTATGGCCAACTATTGCCCAGTCTCAAATCTTCCATTCTTGGGCAAGGTGATTGAGCGCATGGTTGCTGAACACCTCCAGGCACGCCTGGAGGATGCGGACCATTTGGATCCCTTCCAATCGGGATTCAGGCCTCATCATGGGACTGAAACTGCCTTTGTCGCGCTGGTTGGGGATCTCCGGCGAGCTAGGGACAAAGGTGAGAGCTGTTTCCTAGTTCTGCTGGATCTCTCAGCGGCCTTTGATACAATCGACCATAACATCCTTCTGGACCATCTAGAGGGGCTGGGAGCTGGGGGCACTGTTATACAGTGGTTTCGCTCCTTCCTCCTGGGCCGCGTTCAGAAAGTGGTGGGGGGGGATGAGTGTTCAGACCCCTGGACCCTCACTTGTGGGGTGCCTCAGGGTTCCGTCCTCTCCCCCCCCATGCTTTTTAACATCTATATGAAGCTGCTGGGAGAGATCATCAGGGGGGTTTGGGCTGGGTGTCCATCAATATGCAGATGATACCCAGCTCTACCTCTCCCTCAAATCAGAACCAGTGAAGGCAGTGAAGGTCCTGTGTGAGTGCCTGGAGGCGGTTGGAGGATGGATGGCGGCTAATGGATTGAGGTTGAATCCTGACAAGACAGAAGAACTGTTTTGGGGGGACAGGGGGCGGGCTGGTATGGCGGACTCCCTGGTCCTGAATGGGGTAACTGTGCCCCTGAAGGACCAGGTGCACAGCCTGGGAGTCATTTTGGACTCACAGCTGTCCATGGAGGCGCAGGTCAATTCTGTATCCAGGGCAGCTGTCTACCAACTCCACCTGGTATGCAGGCTGAGACCCTACCTGCCCGCGGACTGTCTCACCAGAGTGGTGCATGCTCTGGTTATCTCCCGCTTGGACTACTGCAATGCGCTCTATGTGGGGCTACCTTTGAAGGTGACCCGGAAACTACAACTAATCCAGAATGCAGCAGCTAGACTGGTAACTGGGGGCGGCCGCCGAGACCACATAACACCGGTCTTGAAAGTCCTACATTGGCTCCCACGACGTTTCCGAGCACAATTCAAAGTGATGGTGTTGACCTTTAAAGCCCTAAACGGCCTCGGCCCAGTATACCTGAAGGAGCGACTCCACCCCCATCGTTCTGCCCGGACACTGAGATCCAGCACCGAAGGCCTTCTGGCGGTTCCCTCATTGCGAGAAGCAAAGCTACAGGGAACCAGGCAGAGGGCCTTCTCGGTAGTGGTGCCCGCCCTGTGGAACGCCCTCCCATCAGATGTCAAAGTGATAAACAACTACCTGATATTAGAAGACATCTTAAGGCAGCCCTGTTCAGGGAAGTTTTTAATGTATGATTTTAGTGTATTTTTGGTTTCTGTGGAAGCCGCCCAGAGTGGCTGGGGAAACCCAGCCAGATGGGCGGGGTACAAATAATAAATTATTATTAGTATTAGTATTAGTATTAGTATTAGTATTAGTATTATTAGTATTATTAGTATTATTAGTATTATCTCTGCCTGAGGTTGATCATGGATCTCTGCTTGCGCTTCCACGCGTATAGGTCCCCATCATGCTCTTGATCCTGGTCTTCGTCCACAGACCGGGTCTTCACATTGTTTTCATCCTTGTCCAATGCATCGGCATCAAAGTTACCCAATGTGCTTGTAGTGAAGGCCAGCAGCATTACAGCTAGCAGGATGGGCCAAGACTTCATGATAGGTCAGATGCACAGTGTTCTACATTGACTGAAAGGAATAGAAGAGTGAAAGAGCTGTCCTGCGTCTAATCTGAATTTACCCAATTTTTATTACAGGTATGGAGCATTATGAGGTTCGTCATGGTTGTTCAGGTCCCAAGGAGATGCCTAAGGCTTATCACCTTCTTGTTGTTCCAATCTCCAGGCTGCTCAAAGACTTTTGAAGAAAAGCATTGCTGCACCTATTGAGGAGGTACATTCACTTTCCATCAGTGCCATTCAGGAGTAAAGCATCACTGCAGCAGAAACAGTTTGCAAGTTTTTTAAAGAGTTTGGTTGGTTGCTGATGGGGAGTGACCAACATACCGGTTCATGCAGTTAACCAAGCCTAACTTATAATGTCCACCCATCCATATCCCTTCTCCACTATCCAGGTTTGAAGATGTGGCTCTCTGATTATCCTTACTCTGAAAATGACTGACTTGGAGCTTCGCCGGATCCACAGACATGCAGGAGGATGTGAATCAGCTCTGGGCGCTTTTTAGGAATTGCAGACAGCTCTCTCAGAGGGGGTTCATCCACCGGAGAGGAAAGCTTCCCCAGCCCTCTTAGGCCTTCAGATGCCTCTAGCCCTTTTCTGAAGCAACATCTTCCATGTCCCATGGACCCACGGGGAGATGGTCAGGATCCTGATTTCCCTCACTTTACCAGCCTCTTGTAATTGCTCCCACCTCTGGGGTGAGTGCCAAGTCACGGTTGAGCAGTATAGCACTTTTTCAGCCCTTTAGACTTTTGCAGTATAGCAAATGCAGTCAATACTGTCCCCTCCAGATGCATTGGAGGAAAGCTCTCTGCTTCCTTGGCCTTGTGTGTCTCCCATGTAGCCTCTCCTGCTCTACCACTGGCCAGGAGTATGTGACTGCAGAATCAGCTTTGAGTTGTTAGGATTGCAGATGAGTCTTCCAGGAGGGCAGAAATGCTTAAGGAGAAAAAATTGCCAGACTTCATAAGCAGTAAGAAGACACTGGACCTTTGCTGAGATGACGTTAACCATAGTTCAGCTCAGCAGCTGTGAGCTGTCGAGGGTTTTGATTTGCTCTTATGCACTAGCCTCTCCAGCTATGGAATATCAGTCGGAGAGTCGGCATGTCATGAAGCATGAGATGTGTCCAGAACTTGCTCCTGAATTCCAAGACACAAGTCTTGCTGCTTCAGATGGTGTTTAATGACCAGGGTATATCACCAACCCTTCATACATGTACACTGCCACCACTCCTTAAACCCAAATAGCTTGGGACAGGAAACTCCAAGGCTTTAGTGGACAACATGGAGATTCAAAAGGATCAGCAGATAAAACTCAGACTCTCTGCTTCCTGAGAACCAGGTTAACCAAATGCAGAGTGGCATATCACCATGAGCCTAGCAATGTATTTATTATCAAGCATTTACCTTCACTAAAAAGCCACCAAATGGAGGGAGGTAGAATAATTAATAAAACGATGAGAAGGGCAACATGCAAGTTAGAAAATACAATACAGAAGTAAATTAGAAACCCGAATGAAGATAAGAGTCTACAGAGAACTTGCTGGATCAGGCCAATCCTTTGGGGAGCCTGCAAACAGAATCAGAACATAAGAGCACTCTCCACTCATGTAGTCTTCTCAGGGCATGTAGAGTTGAGCATGAACATAGGTGAATATTAAACAGCTCCCATTGAGGCCCTCGTTGCGTGGCAAATCCCCTCTCCCCTTGTGAAATGAAGACACAGGACATGTTATTTAAGGTTAATGGGCGTAAAAGGCCACAACTTACAGTGGTGCCCCGCAAGACGAATGCCTCGCAAGACGGAAAAACCGCTAAACGAAAGGGTTTTCCGTTTTGAAGTTGCTTCATAGGACGAATTCCCCTATGGGATTGCTTCGCAAGACGAAAATACCTTACGAGTCTTGAGATTTTTTTCGCTTTTCCCCCTTTATCTAATCTGCTAAGCCTTTAATAGCCTTTAATAGCCTTTTAGCAGCTAATCCCTAAGCCTTTAAGCCTTTAATAGCCGCTAAACCGCTAATAGCGCTAATAGCGCTAATCCGTCAATGGGCTTGCTTCGCAAGACAGAAAAAACCGCTAGACGAAGACTCTCGCGGAGCGGATTAATTTCGTCTTGCGAGGCACCACTGTAATTGATTACAGGAATTGAGAGGTATTGGCCTTAGGCATTGGTTCCTATCAAATACCCGGCATGGAGACCGGGGAGGGTTAACCACTAGCCGGGGAGTCCTGCTGAAGTACGCCAGCTAGGAGCCCCCGGGTGCCCCCGCTAGGGGGTGTGCCTTCGGCCCACACCTCCGTAGGCTTAGGACAGGGCAATGCCCCCCGGAGTCCTTTACTGGACTACCCTTCGCTTTGGGGGAAGGTGACAGCGCTTCCTTCCCCCCTTCATTTGCATAACAATTACCCCTGCCAATGCCTAACCGCCAATACCGGGAAGTTGTGACGTTTGCTACGAGGTAGGCGAAAAAACCAATTGGCTGGAAATTTGCCAAGTGGAAAAATTCCTACCAGGCCCCTTGCGGCGACCAACCAAAGTCCATAGCAAGGTCAAAGCTAGCTAAACCTAAGGGAGGGTGGGATGGGAAACCGAATCAGCTGGAACGGGGAAGAGAGGAGGAACCCTGGGCGCGCCAGCCTTAAATGCGTTAGGCCACGCCTCCCCGGCCTGCCGATTGGCTGGCCGGGTCGGTGACGCACCCGAGGATTCCCCTGCTCTCGTGGGGGCTATGAGCCAGCCCCCGCGTGCGTGGGGAGGGGATGGGCCCGCAACCCCACCTCCTCCTCAGCTCGGAAGTGGCTTTCTACCACTAGTGTGATATGTGGGTGAAGCCCACATAGCGTTGGCGCCTATGCTGGGTACAAGCAGCGGGGCAAGTGGAAGTGTGAAGCAACAGCATTTATACTACAAAAGAAACACACAGCCTATGATACAGCATGACTAGATTTTAGAGGAGAATTGGTGAGTCTTTTATTCCTATTGTCTAAGTCTCTGCTCACTCCCAGAATGCAAACTTCAAATAATATTGTTTCACTTTCTGGTTTAATTGTGGCTTAGCATTATCTAGTTTTCCTTTCTCGATCCTCCCCAGGGCTTTAAGATTACAGTGGTACCTCGGCTTACATACGCTTCAGGTTACATACGCTTCAGGTTACAGACTCCGCTAACCCAGAAATAGTGCTTCAGGTTAAGAACTTTGTTCCAGGATGAGAACAGAAATCGTGCAGCGGCGGCGCAGCGGCAGCAGGATGCCCCATTAGCTAAAGTAGTGCTTCAGGTTAAGAACAGTTTCAGGTTAAGAACAGACCTCCAGAACAAATTAAGTTGTTAACCCGAGGTACCACTGTATTAGGGATGAAACACTTTAGGAGGAAGAGAAAATTGAATTAAAACGGACAGGGATCTGCTTCTCAGTCATGGAATCCCATCCGTCTAACACTGGCAAATTTAAAAGGCCCCCAGAATGAAAAGCAGGCTCTGGGACTTTTCAGTTGGCATCACAGATGCACTGCTTGGTGTCTCAGAGGTGGACACATCAAGCATATAGGGACAGAAGTGGGTTTATGCCACAATAACTGTTACAGAAGCAAGTCCTGCTGATTCCCATGGGGCTCAATCCCTGATCCTGGCAAGCGGATATGGGATTAAAATTGCTCCAAAGAATCTTTCAGTCCTGGGTGGGAGGAATATTTCCACCACATCTCCCCAAGCCCAGTTGCTTGTTCCTTTCTGCATCTTCTTTTCAAGTATACGGCATAAGACGGAAGGATATCAAGTGGGCTAGCATGCAGGAAATAGAGAGTGGGCTAGGAACTGGGGGAGAAAGTCATCTCCAGAGTCTAGGAATGAGGGTAGGGTCACGTCCTCAAGCCAAGATAGTGGAGGAATAGGGGTACTGAGGACATTGTAATGTGGATGTTGCAGACATAATAAACCATGCTTGGTCCATAGCATGTGTCAGTGTGCTGATCAGCCCACACCAGTAAACAACCAAGCTCATCATGCAACGTCCATGTTCTCCCTCCTGGGTTAGGTAAAGGGACCCCTGACCATTAGGTCCAGTCGTGACCGGCTCTGGGGTTGCGGCGCTCATCTCACTTTATTGGCCGAGGGAGCCAGCCTACAGCTTCTGGGTCATGTGGCCAGCATGACTAAGCTGCTTCTGGCGAACCAGAGCAGCGCATGGAAACGTCGTTTACCTCCCCGCCAGAGTGGTACCTATTTATCTACTTGCACTTTGATGTGCTTTCGAACTGCTAGGTTGGCAGGAGCTGGGACCGAGCAATGGGAGCTCACCCCGTCATGGGGATTCGAACCGCTGACCTTCTGATCGGCAAGTCCTAGGCTCTGTGGTTTAACCCACAGCGGCACCCGTGTCCCTGGGTTACTGAACCTATTCATGGTACCGTTGAAACACTAATGTGCCTCTTAAATACACAGAGGAAAGTATATTCCTTTTTTCAAAAGTCATCATACAGCCAGGAAGTCGGAACAACCATGAGGTGATAAGCATCAAAGATCACACTGGGATCTGAAAAACTGCCACATGCCTCATGACTTAGTGCAGAGGTTCCCAAACTTTTTTGGGGGGGGGCACTCACTGTTCCATAAACACATACCCAGTGTCCCCTACTCTATGGAAAGCATTTGTGTCTACAGCACTTCTTTGTTGCTGAGCCTGCCCTAGGGGAGAAGAAAATGACGGGCGAGTTGTGAATTATGCGATTCAGGCATGGATATAAGAAATTGTGAAATTCAGGAAGGGTACTGACGCAGAACAGAATGAACTGGAGGAACAGTCAAAGAAGAGAACAGAGGAAAGACCACTCTGCCTTGGGAAGAAGCACACTGTTCTCCACGTCAGCACAAGATGGCTAATTGTCCTCCCAAATGACACTTGGTCTTAGTCCAGGAACACAAGACAACAAATCATAGCCACAAATCCCCCCAGTTCAGACCACTTGGCTATTTAAACCAGCCCAATGTGGGTTCTTCTGCACAGGACTTCGGTTGGCTTCTCCAAGAGCGAACGTCTTCTCATCCCTGGAGACAAAGACCACTAGCTTGGTAAGAACATCATTTTCTTCTTGACTGCAGCAGTTAGATCAAGCCCAGTGCTGTTCTGACTATTACCCAGAAATATCTGGGGAAAGAAATTGCAGTTAAAAATGATCAAAGGGAAGAGAAAATGTTGGTCAAAAACTCCAGGATTCTAGGGCACCGAAGGGGTGTTTGCGAGTGTCCTTACTTTAATTCTGCAAAGGATTTTAATGTGCGACTTTATATATAATTGTCTTTAAATGTTATATTTCTATTTAAATATATGCAAGCATCTTTTTGTTGAATGGTTTCTTTAAATGTAAAGGTTCATCACTGTTCCACCCGATGTGTATGTCTTTAAGGGGCCAAAGCAAGGGCCAGAGCAAGATAATGAGACCCAGCGTTACAGCTGTGAAACATAGCAGGTGCTGCCGAGTTGTACTGATTAAGCTGTGTTGGCAATTGGGTGTAGTATATAAGGAGCAGCACCTAGCTCTCCCATTACCCTGGGGGATGGGTTATGTTTGTTTGTTAATGTATTTAGTGTAAAAGGAGTTTTTGTTTTTCTTATTAAAACCTTGTTTAAATTATTTTTGAGTCCCTTTTTAATGCATGGTCTCCCCAGCAAGCTCTCTGCAGCGCTACCATACTGCAAAAAGCCAACACTTTTTAAAGTTTGCTTTTCTTGATCCTTTTTAACGAATGATTTTAGATGGTCCATTATTAACAGCTTCCATGTGTTCTGTGGAGTCAATGGTATCTAAATCAAAGTGGTGGTCTGCACTCTGCAGCCTTTTCATTTTCCTTTACTTCCTCCAATCTCCTGCCTTACATTCCCCTTGTAAGCAGGGCAAGGTGGGGGTGGGCAGTCACTTGGGGACTGTTCATCACTTAATTCTTTCAGTGAAGAAACTCTATGTTCCTGAGAACAAGGCAGAAACAAAGAGAACCCTCTTTCTCAGGGAGGTGGGGAGATGTTCCTATTCGGGTTTGGAGGGACAGCTTAGAGACAGCATCAAGGGAACTTGCCAGCACACCAGGAAGAGGGGTCAAGACAACCACAGGCGGATAAATTGGTAATATTTAATAAATGTAACTTGAGGATCTGCAAAACAAACTAGTTAGTCAGATTCAACCAATGTAAACAAATCTAATAAAGTCCGGGCAGATGTCCATTAATAGATGGGGGTCACACAGCACATACTGCCTCTCCCACGGAGGACCTTAAGGTCCATAAATAGCAACACCCTAGAGGTCCCAGGCCCTAAGGAAGTTAAATTAGCCTCAACCAGAGCCAGGGCTTTCCCAACACTGGCTCCAGCCTGGTGAAACGCTCTGTCTCATGAGACCAGGGCCCTGCAGGATCTGATTTCTTTCCGCAGGGCCTGTAAGACAGAGTTGTTTCACCTGGCCTTTGGATTGGAGTCAATTTGATTCCCTCCCCCTCTTTCTTTTTTCCTTTCTCCTCCTTTGATGAGGCTGCATTTTAATGTTTCAATGTTGTATTTTAATCTTGTTTTTAAGTTGTATTCATTCAACTTGTTTTTATTATTGCTTATTAGCCGCCCTAACCCGGCCTTGGCTGGGGAAGGCGGGGGTATAAATAAAAATTACTATTATTATTATTATTATTATTATATTGTGCATGCAGTGAGGTTTCCTGTGATTCCTTCCTTCCTGCTGCAAGGACCTTTGGTTTAAAAACCAAAGAGTCATACCATGGCCCCATTGGGCAGCTTACACCCCAATGTGTCCATCAAGCCAAAGGGCACCGGCAGCACCCACAGACCATGTCTGACAACAGTGCCTAAAGGATGCCCACAACCCAACACTGTCTCAAGTAAGTGTTTCTTTCTTTCTGAAATCTTCTCACCTGCCCAGACTACATGCCAATTAGCCCACATTCTGCCCATATATGAGGAATAATAATAATAATAATAATAATAATAATAATTTCCCCAGCCACTCTGTGCGGCTCCTAACAGAATATTAAAAACATGATAAAACATCAAACATTAAAAACTTCCTTAAACAGGGCTGCTTTCAGATGCCTTCTAAAAGTCAGATAGTTGTTCATTTCCTTGACAACTGATGGGAGGGCATTCCACAGGGCGGGCGCCACTATCAAGAAGGCCCTCTGCCTGGTTCCCTGTTACTTTGCTTCTCGCAGTGAGGGAACCACCAGAAATCCCTTGGAGCTGGACCTCAGTATCTGGGCTGAATGATGGGGGTGGAGACGCTCCTTCAGGTATATAGGGTTGAGGCCTTTTAGGGCATATGCTCTAAGTTTTATTCTAAATCACTTCCTCATATGTTCTGTGACATTAACCTTTTGTGATATGACTCTAAATGTTGTTGTAGATATTGCTCTCATTGCCTCTGTTGTTCCGTGTTTATTGCATGTTTTCTTTTTTCTTTTTTAATAATTTTTTATTAAAGTTTTAAACAAACAAAAAAGAAAAACAACACACACAAAAAACAATACAAAACTTAACAATATAAACACAAAACAATTAATAACAAACTCTCTTTTCCATTTCCAATTGTAAATTACTTATTTTCTGGACTTCCTCATACCTCCCTCTTTTGTATTCCAATCCACATTATTTATCCAGCAGTTTCTTTTCCACTTTTTTAATCCCAATCTTTAATTTAATAAAATGTTAAAATATATAACTTCAACTTCATCATAGCCGATTTTACCGTTTCATCTTGAGTATTCCATTTCAGCAGCAAGTTATACATTCTTGACAAATTCTTAGTATTGGGTTCTAACAATTCTGTTTCTAATTTGGATCTTTCCACCTGGAAGCCAATTTTCCTGTCCAATTTAAATACCTCCATTATTTGATAATAATGAAGCCAGTCTCGCACTTTGTTTTTAGTTTTTCAAAACTCTGCAATTTCAGTCTATCTCCGTCTTGTTCCAAAATTTCCCAATATTTCGGCCATTTGACCTCCATATTGACCTTTTTCAAGGCTTTCGCTTCCATTGGTGACAGCCACCTTGGGGTTTTATTTTCTAACAAATCCTTATATCTTATCCAAACATTAAACAGCGCTTTCCTGACAATGTGGTTTTTAAATGCTTTATGTGCTTTGACCTTATCATACCATAAATATGCATGCCATCCAAATACATTATTAAAACCTTCTAGATCCAAAATGTCAGTGTTTTCAAGAAGTAGCCATTCTTTCAACCAGCAAAAGGCTGCTGATTCATAGTACAGTTTAAGGTCTGGCAGGGCAAATCCACCTCTTTCCTTTGCATCCGTTAATATTTTAAATTTTATTCTGGGTTTCTTGCCCTGCCAGACAAATTTAGAGATATCTTTCTGCCACCTCTTGAAACAATCCATTTTGTCCACGATCTGCAAAGTTTGAAACAAAAACAACATTCTGGGCAATACATTCATCTTTATCGCAACAATACGGCCTAGCAGTGAAAGCTTCAAATTTGACCAAATTTCTAAATCTTTTTTCACTTCTGACCAACATTTTTCATAATTATCTTTAAATAAATTCCCATTTTTTGCTGTCATGTTAATCCCCAAGTATTTAACTTTCTTAACCACTGTTAAACCTGTCTCATTCTGAAACCTGTCTCTTTCAAACGGTGTTAAATTTTTCTCTAGAACCTTGGTTTTTGACTTGTTCAATTTAAATCCTGCCACTTGACCAAATTCTTGAATCAGTTCTAAAACCCTTTTTGTACTAGATTCTGGCTCCTGTAACGTCAATACTAAGTCATCTGCAAATGCTCTCAATTTGTACTGTTTTGCTCCAACCTGTATACCTTTAACCAGCTGGTCCCTTCTAATCATGTTCAGCAAAACCTCCAGGACCGAAATAAAAAGTAGTGGGGAAATTGGGCAACCTTGTCGTGTCCCTTTTTCAATTTTCAGTTCTTCCGTCACAACATTATTTACAATTAGTTTAGCCTTTTGTTCTGAATAAATTGCACTTATACCATTCTCAAAACCTTGGCCTACCCCCATACCCTGAAGATTCTTCTTCATAAAATTCCAAGAAATATTGTCAAAGGCTTTCTCCGCGTCTACAAATATCAACACTGCTTTAGTGTTTATATTCACTTCTAATTTCTCCAAAATATCAATTATATTCCTCAAATTATCCGACAAATGTCTTCCTGGGAGAAAGCCTGCTTGGTCTTTATGAATCTCTTCCAACAGCACTTTTTTAAATCTCTTCGCCAAAATATCTGCAAAAATTTTGTAATCCACATTAAGTAATGATATAGGGCGGTAGTTCTTAAGTTGTGTCTTTTCAATCTCTGTTTTTGGTACAAGTGTAATATATGCTTCTTTCCACGACTCTGGTGCCCTCTTCCCCTCCATAATTTCGTTGCAGACCTCTTTCAAAGGTTGAATTAACCATTCTTTTAAAGATCTGTAGTATCTAGAGGTCAAGCCGTCTGGTCCTGGAGACTTACCCAATTGCATGTTTTGAATGGCACCTTCTAATTCCTGTTCAGTTATTCTGTCATTCAAAATTAGTCTCTTTTCTTGAGATATTTTTTGTAGTCCATTTGTTTTCAAAAATTGGTCTAAATCTGTTTCTTTCACTGGCCCTTGAGTATATAGTCTTTTAAAATACTTCTGGAAACAACTTCTAATCTCCGCAGGGTTCTGTATATTCCTTCCTTCCACTTCTAAATTCGTAATCGTATTTAGTTTTTGTCTCTTTTTCATTTGCCATGCCAACAATTTACCACATTTATTGGCCGATTCAAAAGTCTTTTGTCTCATTTGTTTAATTTTCCATTCTATTTCCTGATTCATTATTTTCATATATTGTACTTGATATAACTTTAACTCTCTCAGAATCTCTTGAGATTTGGGATTTACTCTCAGTCTTTTTTCACATTCATTCATTTTGTTCATAATTTTATCCTTCTTCTCATTTTGAGTTCTTTTCTTTATCGCATTCTGTTGTATTAAGAACCCTCTCATAACAGCTTTACTTGCGTCCCAGATTACTCTTTTCTCCACGTTGGAACTAAGATTTATCTCGAAGTAATCTCTTAGGGTTTTTAGGGCCTTCTTAAGAAATTCTTCATCTCTAAATAAGGTGTCATTCATCTTCCATCTGAAGGAGCCAGTTGGTGTTAGTCTCATTTCCATCTTAACAGCATTATGGTCGGAGCAAATTTTCGGGCAGATTTCCACCTTTCTTGTCTTTGGTGCCATTCCTCTAGTTATCCAAATTTGGTCAATTCTTGTCCAAGTCATTTTGGCTTCAGAAAAGAAAGTTCCCTCTTTTGCCAAGGGGTTTCTAATTCTCCAAATATCCACTAAGTCCAAGTTGTCTGTCATGTCAAAAACGGTTTTCGGTAGTCTACCATCTTTGGTGACTACCTGTCTTTGTGCCTTGTCCATATAAGTAGATATCACTCCATTCATATCTCCCATCAAAATCATGTTGTAATCCATATGGTCCATCAAGGTCTCATGCAACTTCTTAAAAAAATCAGATTTCCCATCATTTGGTGCGTAAACTCCTACAATCAAAAATTTTTCTCCTTGTGTTTGAATTTCAATTGCCACAAATCTTCCTTGGTCATCTTTAAAAACAAATTTTGGTGATAAATTGTCTTTTGCGTAGATCACAACCCCTCTCTTTTAACTTTATCTGACGAAATAAATTCCTGACCAAGTCTTTTATTTATCAACAATTTCCTGTGTAATCTTGTTATGTGTGTTTCTTGTAAACAAATTAAGTCCAATTGTTCCTTTTTTAATATATGAAATACTGACTTCCTTTTCTGAGGGGAATTCAAACCCCGACAGTTCCATGTTAAAAGTTGCAGGGCCATGATGTTATTGTTTTAGTTCTCCTCCTACTGCACCTAGTGCCTGTTCCTCATCCGTCGGTGGTATCCCTTCTTTCGAAAGGTCTTTTGGTTCCGGAAATAGTTCTTTTTGTAGGTCTTCTCCGTGGTCTCTACAAAATTTGTCTTTGTCGTCTTCCGATCTTATTTTCCTCTTCTTTCCTTTGTAGCTAAAAGACAGGCCTTGAGGGAGTTCCCACCTGAAATTGATATTGTTCCTTCTCAGCAGGGTAACCAAGTCTTTATATTTTGATCTGAGATCCAGAAGATATTTCGGAATATCTTTGAATATTTCCACTCTCGTCCGATGGATTTCCAGTGTCTTCTTGAAATGTAGGCCCAAAATCTTATCCCTCTCTTCTTTTGTTCGAAAAGTAATCAGACAGTCTCTCACCTTCTTCTCTCCTCTTCTCCCGAGTCTGAAAGCGTTTACTATTCTGAAACTGTCTTTTACCAGTTCTGGATCCCAAAAGTCCAAAAATTCCTGCGTGAGAAATTCAGCTAGATTGTCCTTTTCCACCTCAGGTACCGATTTGACCCGCAGATACACTTGCTTTTCCTTCAAATCTATCATAGACAGGGTTAATTTATGGTCTTCCAATTGTTTGTGCAGTGTTGGTAATTCCTCTTGAACCTCTTTAACTTCAGTAGCAGAAGTTGTAGCAATTTCTTTAGCCTCTTCAGCAATCTGGCGTATTGAGGCCAATTCCTCTAATAATTTCTGAATAGTCTCTGTGTTAGTATTTACTTTTTGGCCCAAATTATTTATACTTGCTGTATTCTGGTTAATACTTGCTGTATTCTGGTTAATACTTGCTGTATTCTGGTTAATACTTATTGTATTTTGATCAATCTTATCAAATGCCTCTGCTACTTGTTGACTTATTCTATTCAAAGATTCATTAACTTTGGCCAAAACTTGAGCAAAGGCTTCCTCACTTGTCGTGCTTTTTACCTTTAACTGTGCCGATGAGGCTGTTGTTGAGGTTCCAGAAGGGCCTGAGGCCGAAGATCTCCTTTGTAATCCTTCTTCTGTGCGAATAGGCCTTCCCGACCTTGTAGTCAATGCATCCGCTTTCTCTTTCCCATCTGCCATTCCTTTAGATAATGCTCAAGGTCAGTCACGTATTTGAAATTGAACAGTGGAAATTTCCTGCCAAGCAGTGTGAGAACTCCTCAAGTCTGCTACAGTTTCAGTTGTAACAAATTGTAACAGTTCCAAGTTCCACTAGGGGGACACTGTAACAGTCATAAAAGTTCTTGGATACTTTAATTTCTTTCTTTTTTTAAGCCCCCCTAGTTTATTCAGGAAGAAAACAGTCTATTCACAAATTTTAACTTAGGACCAGGAGATATATATTCACATAAATTGTCCAAACTTTTATTTCTTGTGCAGGACTAGCTGTCAAAATATATTACAAGACAGTACCTCTCTTTCTTTCCTGAGATCTGGAGATCCTTTCCCAGGGAATTGAGTGGTGGTTCAATCCCTTCTTTTCCACTCTTTATGAAGAAATCACATCCACAATTCTCCCCCCTTTTCCCTCAATTTAGAGAGGGAAAAGTCCAGGTTGGATGATTGGATTAAAGTCCGCTAAAACGTACTTTTCAATTGCTTCCGCTTTCAAGTTCAATGCTTTATTTTATCTACAAAGAAAGAGGTTGACTTCCTTTTTAAACCTCTTTCCGTTTTCGGCCAGATTCCAGTTTTGTACAGTTCCAATTTAGATTGTATCCTACTCACGGATCGTTGATTTTCAGGTCCGGATTTTTAAGGAAGAAAGGCAGCGCTCTCCGGTCAACTGCTTGCGGCTTCACACCACGAACGAGCAGACAGCCCACAGCACAGCGCACTCCCCCGCTCCGCTTTCAAGCCCGTTGCCGGGCTTCTTACCGGGTTGGGGGGGGGCGCCAAATGTGCCCGCTGGGTCCCAGGTTCACAGGCTTCCCCCGCCTGTGATTTTTGAGGGTCCCCCGCTGCGCCGAAGCGGGATCCGACCCTTTTTTTCGTAGCGCTGATTCCCTCTAACTGAGGGAATCCGCCATCGACCGCTGGCGCCACCTCCGGAAGTCTGTGTTTATTGCATGTTTTCTAAAGGTCAGAAAAAATATAATCATGGTCCCCCCTTTTCCTTTCTGTCTATCCAAAGCGAGCACCAGTTCCAGCTCCATCCATCATGAAGCATCTTCTGATCTTGCTGTCTCTTCTGGCTCTCATGAGCTGCACAAGGGCCCAACGCGTGGAATGCACAGGCCCAGCTAACTGTTTTGAGAGTGCTGTAAGTATCCTGCTGTTCAAACAACCATTCCCAGGATTCAGAGGCAATAGGAGTGGAGAGAGTGGAATAGCTGTTCAATTGTTTTTAAAAATGTACTGGTGATACGTTGTCAAGAGGTTAAACCGCATCCCTTTTTACTTCTAGGGCAGAAGAATATGTCGTTGTCAGAGCTCAATTGGCATCATAGATACCGTCAGCGCGGGTAAAAGAGGTTGGTATGGACTTTTCTGTTCATCCCAAGTGCTCCTGTTCTTTTAACTGTGGTGCAGTGGACAAGAATTGAGCAGCTGTAGCTTCCCTAGCAAGGAAGTATCCATGATGGGACGTTAATGACCTGCTAGATGTCTTTTGCTCAGATATTAGAGAGCATGAATGTTGTTCTAGGAAGATGAGAAGGCAATCAGTAGAGAACCCGGAAGGGTTTTGGAGGAGGGCAATGAGCATGAGCAGAGACCTCAGAAACACGCCCTAGGAGGAAAGGTTATAGCAATGAAAGGTTATGTTCAAGGAAGTTCTACTCTGAGCCATTGGAATTAATGGACCTAACTTAGGCATGTTCTTTAATTTCAATGGGCCGACTTGAAGTAGGTCTAACATTGGATACACCACAGAGTTGGTTTAGGCTGGAGAAGGGACAACTGAAGGGAGAGAGGAGAGCACTCTTTACATCCATGGAGGGCTGTCAATTGGAAGATGGCAAAGAATCATCCTTTGCTGCCCCAGAGGGGAGGAGTGGGTCTTGAGGCTTAAGTTGCACTAGGGTAGATTTGGATAGAACACTGGGAGGCAATTCCTGATGGCAAAAACAGGGGGAGAATGGACCCAATCCCAACAGAGTGGTATTTTGGAGTGAGAGAAAGTCTGCCCCTTTCGATAGCCACATGCTGGGGACACTTTAGTTTCAAGTTGCTGGACTAAATGCCTTCCAGTCCCTCTCAGCTCTCAAATTCTGTGATTCCTGCCTTCTTCATAAAGAAGATCATAGCTGGCCTCTCAGAGGAATGAATCCCCTGCCCTTTTCTTTCTCCTCACAGATGTAGAGGCAGCTACTATGGCCGAAGAAAACTGAGACGCAGATTGGGATCAACCCAGATGCTCAGCAGGTTCACCAAATGATCTCAGTGGCATATCTTCACTGCTTGATACCTCCACTCTGCTCCTGTAGTCCTTAAGCCCTGAATCCAGATTTCATGGGCAGCCCAGAATTCAGGAAGAATTCAGCAACTGCAAATAAATCTTAGCATTCTAGCCTCTTGTTTGGTCTCTTGAATGTGAACCTACAAGATATCTGTCCAGGAGTGTAACAGAACATTCTGGGTCCAGTATGTGGGTGGGGTCCTCCAATACACTCTCAGAAGAGGACACAGATCTGCAGAGAATTCGCATTTGCTTCCTGTGATATTCAAAGTTGTATCTTATTTTTCAGGCGATGTAGCAGACCCAGAACTAAATCCATGACTGTCCATACTGATAGTATAATACTTGGTGAAAAAATATTTTCACATCCCCCCCCCCAAAAAAACCTGAAGCCTTTTTACTGGCTATAGTATGGGATTAGATACCAAAGATGGCATATAATGTATTTCCCTATTCATTCACCTTTTACCTTTACCTGGAATGTCATGGAGTGATAGGTTGGGAAGTTTTCATAGAAATAATGTATGATGAAAAATGTATGATGTGTAAATAGAATTTGGTGTTGGAATGAATTCACGACAGACGAGTGGCAGGTGTCATATGAGAGGCGTCTGCCGGGGTGAGCCCTGGGAACTCTCTTTTATTGAATATTACAAACATTGCCACAGGTGTGCTTGTGGCTGATTGGTTGATACAAACACAAAGCAACTTGTTGCTGATTGGTTAACATAGGTACAAGGCGGGCAGTACATATTACATTAATCACTGATAGATTAAAGGCTGAGAAACGGAGCTGGAACTAGACAGGCATGAAACCTCCTAATTAAATTATAACTAAAGATTAATATAACATGACTAAAACAATTACTAATGATTGATCATAACATGAAAGAATATAATAATCGAGTTCCGTAGATGTGGTCAGCTATGCATTAAGAACAGGTCATATTGTTTGTTCATGAACTTAATGTGAACTGAGGAATAAGGGAATGTCTTGGTGTGTTTAGAACAGGTTTGTACAGTGTGTGCAGAAGCAGAAGCGAGACTTCCCAGAATGCAAGAGAAAAGAAGCAATAGTTCCCATAGCAAGACTTCCCATAATGCCACAGTTATGTGCAGAAAGAGAACTGCAGAAAGAGAACTTCCCTTTATCTCCCCCTTTCTTTTCTTGTTTGCAAGGCGTTCTGGGTAAATAAGGCAAAAATACTTCGGGATTAGTGGTGTGCCAGCGAATGCCCAAAATAAGTTCGCCAGGGTCGATGGGACAAAAATATTTCGGGATACGTGGTTTGCCAGCACATGCCCAAAATAAGTTCGCCATGGTCGATGGGACAAAAATATTTCGGGATACGTGGTCTACCAGCGCATGCCCAAAATAAGTCTGCCCACATCTCCCCTAAAGTTTACTGTTGGTGTTGCCATTTCGCAAAGTAGGCAGCAAGGAGTTTATTGGGTGGCTGAGGGGGAGAGAGAAGCCGAGACAAAAGACTTATGAGGCCAGGAACGCATTGAAGGAAGCAACATAGCAAAATTAATATACATATTATGACAATGGCATATTGAAAAAGACTACGAAGCCAATTCAGGTTTGGCAACCAAGCGGTAAGCCACTGGGTGAAAGAATCCCAGAGGCCAGAAAATCCAACGTCCTGTTTAATGTGATGTGTAAGATTTTGCAAATGAGAGATTTGGCTTTGAATGGCTCTAGAATTTGCAGTAATATTGAAACAACACATGTCATTCACTTGTTCACAGCCATAATGATGAAGCATCAGCAAATAATGATAGCAGCACGATTTCGTAAAAGTCCATGGTGGAGTTCACTCTGTTCTGTATTCAAAAGGTGAAGAGTTTGTGAAGTAAAATTCAGAGCTTTTGCTGCAGAACAAGCTAAAGAATTAATGTTCATACGATTCCGTACAGCCAATCCAGGGACTCCTAAGAGAGAAACAACTAAAGAGATATATTCAGACCTACTGGGGAAAAAGACAAAAGCATCACAATCATTAGTCAATTCCACAGAGCGGCGATATCGAGAGCGGGTCAAATGATGCTTTTTGGGTAATACAATGGACAAACGGCTTAAACAACAGGGTGTTCCATGGCTGATGTATTGGCACATGGTAGGGGAATTCAACATTCCTTGTGGTAGGACTTTCCATTGGTACCGTTCCGTGGGCTGACTGTTATTTAACACAGGAACGGTAAAAGCAAAGAATTTACGATCCTTCTCCTGTAGGGGAATGGAGAAGAAACAATCTTGCAAATCTATTATAGCCAATTGATAAGAATGTGGAATCACATTTGGATTAGGCAGACCACACTGCAAAGGCCCCATGGGTTCAAGGATCTGGTTTATTTTCCTTAAATCCTGGAGAAATCTCCATTTGCCACTCTTCTTTTTTTATGTCGAAGATGGGTGTATTATAGGGGCTAACTGAAGGCTCTATATGGTCTGCCGATAATTGTTCATTCACTAATTGTTTTAAAGCAAGTAGCTTTTCTCCCGTTATGGGCCATTGTTCCACCCATACAGGACTGGTAGATTTCCAGCTGAGGGGAAGTGCAAGCTTACTCATTAAATTGAATGGTAGCTTGTAATTGTTGTAATAAATCTCTTCCCCACAGATTGAGGTGGATTTTCAGCACACAGGGCTGGATGTAAGCAATGGTTTCAGAGCTATCAGGCAGAGAAACAGGCAGCCACTGTACGCTTTTGGAAGAGGTTTGGGGGCCACCCACACCCCAGACTGCAGAGGCAGACTCAAGGGGCCACGTGGGGTCCCAGCAACTACTAGAAATTACAGAAACGTCTGTGCCCGTGTCAATCAAGCCTTCCAGCACAATACCATTGATTTTATACTTACGAAGAAGTTTCTTTTCACCAATCCTCTGGACTACAGCTAACAGCTGTGGAGGGAAAGAAGAGAGCTCGTGCAAATTACTATCCATAATAGAAGCAGTAGGATGAGAAGGGAGCACCACCAAATGTGCCCAGGACTCACTCTTTTTTAATTGCATGGGCATATGGCTCCAGAGTTGAACCATTATAGTGCCTACATAGTCAGGATCCAGAACTCCTGGAATAACCTGGATTCCTTCTTTTGCCGCAGAAAATTTGGGTAAAATTAAACCTGCGACTTTAGGAGGCAATGGGCCTGCCAATTGAGTGGGCATAAGCACAATTTCACCAGGTAAAACAGAGTCTTTGGTCTCTTGATTGATCAAATCAATGGCAAATTCAGAGGGTGTATTTTTAGAAAAATTTTCAGCAGCGGAAACTAAAGGTGGAAAACTCTCTAACTGCACTGGCCCGAGAGTGGGGCCGCAATGGAGTTTCCCGGACTCCTGCACTGATTAGCCCAATGATAGCCTTTTCCACATTTCGAGCATTTTTTGGAAGGTCTAGTCTTGTAGGCAGCACCATCCTTGTTTGCCCCCCCGCCAGGGGCTCTGCATTGCTTGGCAAAATGGCCTGGGCGCTTACAATTAAAGCAATTACCTGTAGGTCTATTAGTAGCTTGGATTGCGCCGGCAAGCAAAGACATTGCATGGCTCTGGCTACCGACATCCGCACAAGCTTGAATCATATCGGCCAGGTCATATTTAGGGCGATGTATAATTGACTGCAATGCTTTCTTGCAATCGGTGTTTGCGTTTTCAAAGGCCAATTTTTTCATTAATTCATTTTGAACTGTAGTGTTATCAATCTGCCTAGTGACTGATTCTTTCAATCTATCTATAAACTGATAGTATGGCTCCGAATGCTGTTGCTTAATATTAACAAAGGAGCTCAGCGGTTGCCCTGAAACAGGGACTTTCCGAAAGGCGCGTTGTACACAGGTCACGGTGCGACTAAAATGTACAGGTGTCAGCGTCGCCTGGGCTGGTATATTATCATAGTGACCCGCGCCATAAAGTTGACTGGCTGTATGCTGCAGATCAGACAGGGCTGATGCGCTATGTTTAAATTCACTCTCAAACACCACGTACTGAGCTGGAGATAAAAGCATGCGCATCAGGTCTTTCCAGTCTTGAGGTAGCATTGTGTAACCAGTTGCTATTCCTTCTAGCATTCCTGTTACATAAGAGGATTTTAGACCAGAATCAGTAATGGCTTTCCTTAATTCCCTCATTACAGAATAAGGAAGTGCCTCATAAAAAACCTGCTGTTGAGCAGTTCCAGGGTTTGTATAGGTGATAGGGAAAGCAGACGGCATTGCACCAGGCCACTCAGATTCCTCCTCTAAGGACAGGAGCTCTTTCTGCCTGGCCAAAGGAAGCGCAGCGCACACAGCTCCTATAGAGCAAACAGGGGCTGTGGCAGGCGGAGGAGGGATGGGGGAGGAGGATGCAGGCTGAGGCGGAGGGATGGGGGGGGGAGGATGCAGGCCAAGGCGGTTGAGACGCAGGGAGGGATTGGCCGGGCTGCAAAGGAGAAGGAGGCAAAAGCTTTGGGTAAGGTGGGGGATTGTCTGCAATGGCTAGAAGGGCAGGGGCCAAGGGAGACGCCTGGGGTCCCAATTGGGGCCCTAATTTAGCAACGGCATCTGCACATTTCTGCCAAGTGAGCAGACAATGAATCGGAGCCCTTGGTTCTGTAAAAAGGGTCTTTCCGATCTTTTGCCAAGTCTCTACTTCCAAAGAACCAGTCTCTGGATAGGAGGGGCACTGGCAGGCAATCTCACATAACAATTGTTCAATTTCTTTTAAGGAAATATTAACACCCACCGCTCGCTGTCTAACTAAATAAAGCAATTCTTTAGCATGCTCTTTTTGGAATTTAGTCAATTCCCCTCCCATACTCACGAAGTAGCGCGCTGAGACTTTTCCAGTCGAGTGAAGTATGAGGGCTGGCTGCGTAAGGGATCTGGCAGTTGGGGTCACCAGATGTTGGAATGAATTCACGACAGACGAGTGGCAGGTGTCATA